CATTGTTGAAAATCATTTGACCATATATGTAAGGATTTATTTCTGGGATCTTTATTCCAGTCTCCTGGTCCATATGTCTGTCTTTATTCCAGTACCACACTGTTTTGATTACCACAGCTTTGTAGTAATTTCAGAAATCAGAAAGTACAATTCCTCCAACTTTATTCTTCTTCTCAAAATTGTTTTAGTTATTTAGGATCGCTTGAGATTCCATGAGAATTTTAGGATGGATTTTTCTATTTCTGTGAAAAACATCATTGGTATTTTGACAGAGATTGCATTGAATCTGTAGATCGCTTTGGGTAGTATTGACATCTTAACAACATTAAGTTTTCTAATTCATGAACATGGGATATCCTTCCATTTATATATGTCTTCTTTAATTTCTTTCAGCTTTGTAATTTTCAGTGTACAAATCTTTCTCTTCCTTAGTTAATTCCTAAGTATTTTATTCTTTTTGATGCTATTGTAAATGGGTTTGTTTTCCTAATTTCTGTTCAGATTGTTCATTGTTAATGTATGAAAATGCAACTCATTTTCGTGTGTTGAGTTTGTATCCTGCAACTTTGCTGAATTCACTTTTTAGCTCTGTTTGAAGCATTAGAGTTTTCTACACATAAAATCATGTTATCTGCAACAGAGATAATTTTACCTCTTCCCTTCCAATTTGCCATTTATTTATTTATTTATTTAATTTTTGGTCTAATTTCTCTGGCTAGAACTTCCAGTGTGTTAAATAGGAGTAGTGAAAGTGGGCATCCTTATTGTCATGGACTGAATCGTGTCCTCCCAAAATATATGTGTTGAAGCCCTAACCCCAATATCTGAGAATGCGACTATATTTGGAGATAGAGCCTTTAAAGAAGTGATTAAGTGAAAACCATTAGCATAGACCCTAATTCAATCTGACTGGCATCCTGATATTAAGTGTAAATTTGGACATGCAAAGAGACACAAAACATACACATGCACCGAGGAAAGACAGTGAGAAGACAAACATCTGCAAGCCAAGGAAAGAGGCCTCGGGAGAAACCAACCCTGCCGACAACATATTTGAAATACCCATAGCTAACAACATACTCAATGGTGAAAGACTGAAAAATTTTCCCCAAAGCTCAGGAACAAGACAAGTGCATTAGTTTTTCAGAGCTTGTTTAGCCAAATAGACTGGGTAGCTTAAACAAAAGAAATTTATTTTCTCCTAGTTCTGGGGGTAAATAGTATTAGAACAACTGGATAGCTACCTGCAACAGAATAAAGTTGGACCTTCTGACGCTATTTACCTGGACAGCATCAGACCCCACAGATTAAGGGCTCAGTCATAAAAGACTGCCCCCCACCCCCGCCCCCACTTCAGATGCCAATCTCAAATCCAGGTTATCACCTGGACTTCTAACTTACTGGCTATAGATGAGAGTTTCCAACGACTGTCCTCCTTGGATGTGATTAATTTGGTAGGGCAGCTCACAGAACTCAGAAAAACATTTTACTTTTGAATTCCCAGTTTATTACAAAATGATATAACTCAGAAACAGCCAGATGGAAGACATGTATAGGGCAAAGTATGTGAGAAGGGGCACAGAACTTTCACATCTCAGGACATGCCACCTTCCCTGAACCTCCATGTGTTCACCACCATGGAAGCTCTCCAAACCCCATCCTTTTAGGTTTTTATGGGAGTTTCACTACATAGGGATAATTGATTAAATCACTGGCCGCTGGTGATCGATTTGACCTTCAGCCCCTCTCCCCTCCGTGTAGGTGAGGCGGACTGAGATTCCAAACTGGCATCTAGGGGGAATTTGGTCACTGCAGTTCAGAGGCTCCAGAGGGCGTAGTGGGAAAGTTTAGGAGGAAGGGAAAGTATAAGCGTCTGTGTCTGGATAGAGAAAGGAGGTGACACGTGGGCAGCGATCGGGGGTGTCAGGCACAGGAGGCCTAGAGGGAGGAGAGGGAGCGTCATGAATTCTGAGAATATCGGCTCAGCAAATCCCAGGCTCCAGAGGGGCTGAGGCACCTCAGGAAGTCAGCAGGCTTTGCCTGATTGATAGCGTTGGTTCCAGCCCAGGTGGCTGAAGGAAGAAAAGGAGGCTTCAGAGGGGACCACCGAGGGATCTGAAGGTGGGACCTTCCAGAAGTGAGGCACCTGAGCAAAACAGGCCGGTGATGGGAAGCAAGATCTGTGCCTTCTCCAGCTTGAACATGGCTTCTAGATCTGGGACTCTGAGTGTGAAGTGAAGTCCTGTGAATCCTCACGAGAAAAATCAGATTCGAAAATACCAAGAACCACTGCATTCTGTCAGATCTCTCTGTGTGAAAACAAGCCAGAGAAGGTTAGATAAATAAGCAAAAGGGACCCAGGGCCAGGTGCCAACCTGAGTGGTTAGTTTCCTACTGATGTTTATAGAGAGTTAAGAGCTATTAAGTGAAAAGAAGGACTATCAGAAACAGAAGTGATGAGTCTGTCAGGCATTCAAACAAGAATTTATTAAGCATCTGGACACACCAGGGACTGCACTTGGAATGCTAGCTGCAGACTTGGGACTGCCTGGAGCTATAAGCAAATCACTAAGCAAATAATTACAAAAGAATTTATATAAGAACAATAAGCAAAGGAGTAAAGTTCTCTGATCCTGTATAACTGGAATTTAATGGAGCCCAGGGAGCAGAGTAAGTTTCTTCACTTCAGTTCTCCACCAAAAAAGGGTGGGAAGTGGGGTGAGTCATAGGTCTTGGGGCAGGAAGGAACTTGAGGGACAAGCTGGAGTTACCACTGAGCAGCAGAAAGTAGAGAGAAGGCTAGAGAGGCAGGAAGAGTCAGATCAGGGCAGGATATTGTCGGCGACGTGGAAGATTCTGGGCCTTATTCCAAGAACAAAGGGAATAGGGTGTGGGGTGGGGAGCAAGTGAGGTTATAGCAGAACCACAAGAGGGAGCAGTAGAGCAGAGGGGTTAAGGAGCTTGGAGTCTGGAGCCAGATGCTGTGGGTTCAAATCCCAGGTCGATCACTTACTACCCGTGTGACCAAGGTCCAGGTTTGCTAATTTCTCTGTGTCTCCGTCTCCAACACTTCAGAGGATCATGAGGATTCAGTGATAAATGCCTAACACATACTGAGTAAGGAGGAATTGCTGATGGGAGTGGGCTCACCAGGAGCAACCCTGCACGGAGGATCCCCTCCACCCCCCAGACAGCCATTCGTTGCTGGTGCTAAGAGCTGTTGGCACCCAGGAAAGTTTCGGCTCCTCTCGTGGCCACCGCTCTAAAGACAAGGTTCTCTTAGGCTCGGATGATCGATCATTCTGGCAGCATCGTCCTCTGGTTCTAACTGTCCTGCGAGCTCTATGAGGACAGGAACCCTCTACCTCAGGACTGGCACAGGGAGGTGCTCAAAATTTGTTGGTGAAATGGGTTGCGAATGAATGAACGAATGAATGGATGGATGTGAGGAAGGATACTTAGACCATCTATAAATTATTAAGCGCTCCCAGGCGCCAGGTACCTCGCTAAGTGCCTTAAATAATTCATTTCATTTCATTCTCACGACAGACTTGTGAGGAGGCCACCAGGAGACACTTTCTAGTGGGGAGATCTTTGAAATGAGTTCTCTGTGGGGAAGCCCTTGTCATACTTCAGGGAGTCTCATTATTGAGAAGTGTGTTTAATTTGTAGCCCCAAAGAAGGGATTTCTGCTAGAAATTGGAATCCTGGAAGCGGTAATTGAACCGGAAAGCAAACGATACTGAAAATAGTTTCTCTAAAGATCTAGCTGGATGAGCTTTCTAGCTACGATCTCATCTTACTTAGCAAGGCACAGGGGCCACGAGGTCATATTACTTATTCTTAAAAGGGGGGAGTGGTACATTCTACAGAGGCATAGTGCCCCTACCCCAGCATCAGCAGCCCGAAGGAGCTCAGAACAGAACCCAGGAGTCCTCAATTCCCTGCTGGTAGAGCATCCCCCGCAGGCCCCGCACCCCTCTCTCAAAGAGGACAGAGAGCAGGTCAATAGGAAAGGCTCTGAGAGAACCACCTTTGACCTTCCCCTGCCCTCTCCAGTTCCAGTCAGAGTCCTGCA